GGGCCGCGCGGCGCGTGAGCGTGCGCAGTGCTGCTGGCAGCGCTGTCCATTCACGTGCTCATGCTGACGTTTGTAAACGCGCCGTGTCTGTGCGGTCTGCGGCTCTGTTCGTTTTGTCCACAGAGCGGGCTAGTTGACAGCACAGGCCCGAGGTCCGAGGGCAGGGAGCTGGTTGAGCCACTGGCAGTTTTCAGCATGCTGGCAGGCTGTGACCCCGGGCTGAGGGGCAGATAGGAAGCCGAACAGGCATATGGCTCATCAGCCACCTGGTCAACTCAGGGGCGGGGCACCATCAAGGCACCTGCTCACATGACCCGCCAAAAGACGGGACAGTAGTTAAAGGGAGGGGGGGAGCGCTGCCATCCCCGCGAGTCGCAACAGCTGGGCCGGTCTGCATATTGTTTCTGGCGCAGCGGTGATTTCGCCATGCAAGGCAGCAAATGTTTCTGGCTGCCACAGCAAGCTGACCCGCAGCCCATCATCGCGCGGGGCGGCTGAGGCAGGTGCTTCGTCCTTGCCGCCGGCTGTGACTTGGTGTGGAGGCGACCTTCCGGCAGACGCCGCCGTTGCCCGCGCTTTCATTGCGGGTGTGAGGGGCCCGTGCTGGCTGCACGCAGCAGCCCGCGCTTAGGAGAGGACGGCAGGCAGCGGCGCTGTAGCTGCGCGCGATCTGAGGATTCCGTATATTCGGGGATTACGTGATCTGGGGATTACAGTGCTGGTGGAGGGCGGCGCTGTCGCCCCTCGCTCCCTAGGAAGAGGAAGAGGCAGGTTACGGTCCATCGACATCGGAAAATCAGAGACGCACGGCACGCACGAGAGATGAAATCAGCGCAGGCGCGCGCAAAACACACAATGGCACGCGCAGGGCCCAAACCCACACGCCGCGCGGCGCGGCCGCCGGCGCCCGCCCAAGAGGCCGGCACGCCCTCGCTCCCTCCACCCCCAGCCGCCCGCGGCACACAATTAGCCGCGGTCGACGTGGAGGTCAACGCCGGCCCTGCCCCTTCAGCTGCCGCGCGCTTCCAGGTCTCAGATCGAGATCTACTGCAGCAGCTCCACGACCTCTGTGTGCTCGTTGAGCTGCGCCACCTCGAGGGCCGTCTTGTCGTCCTCGTTCTTGGCCGCCTTGTCAGCGCCGCTGGGGGCGTGTGTGTGTGTGTGTGTGTGTGTGTGTGTGTGCGTGCGTGTGTGTGTGCGTGTGCGAGCGCGGGAGTGAGCAGGGCGCGCGAGAGCTCGTGTTGAGGGCGTGCGTGCGGGCGTGCACGCGGGGATGGTGCGCCCGCACACGCGCGCGGTGACCCCGAGGGAAGCGCGCCCTCCCGGCAGCGCCGAGGGGCACGCAGCACAGCGCCCGATGCGCTTCCCGTGCAAAGCCCCTCTCCGCCCCGTCTGTCCCAAACCCGCAAGCCCATGCGCGCGCGCGGGGGCACACACAGAGACACCATACACACACACACACACACACACACACACACACACACACACACGCGCACCCCACGTCCGCATGCGCCCCTCCTCTCCCCCCCACCCCCCCACCTGTCCAGCAGCAGCCTGACGCTCTCGGCCTGGCCGTAGCCGGCCGCGTAGTGCAGGGCCGTGTTCTTGTTGTTGTCCAGCAGGTCAACAGACGCACCCTGGGGGTTAGTTGTTTTTTTTGAGGGGGGACGGGCGGGAACGGGGCGCGTCAGGTAAAGCCGGGAGCAATGCATTCTGTGGGTGGGCCGCGGACGGCGGCTTCGCTTTCCGCCATCCGCGACCCACCCAGAAAATGCAATGAGGCAGGGGGAGGCAGCGGTGCGGCCGCCGGGGCCCGCGGCCGGCGCCGGCCCCGCGGTGAAGCGCGGCGCTGAAGCGGCACGTGACCCGCCGGCGACGCCGCCGGCCTGCAGGTTGCGCGCGTGCGCGCACTCACATGCACACACACGTACACAATCTCACATACACCACCCGAAGACAGTCTTGACTGGCCCCCATGCACTCAAACCCCTTGAAGCCCACGCCTCACACTCTTCAGCCCCAACGCTGCACAACGCTGCGCGACGCTGCGCCGCTCGTGCGCGCACCTTCTCGATCAGCTGCTTGGCGCAGTCCAGCTCGCCGTAGCCCGCGGCAAAGTGCAGGGCGGTGCGGCCCTCCTCGTCCTGCTCGTCCACGTTGACGCCCTCCTCAGCCAGCAGCTCCTTCAGCTTGGCAGCATCACCTGGGGATGCGGGTGTGTGCCAGTGTGTGTGTGTATGCGTGTGTGTATATGTGTGTATATGCATAGGAATGTGCGTGCGTGCGTCCATGTGTGTGTGGTGTGTTTATGTGGGGGGGAAAAGGGTGGGGTAAGTGGGCACGTGTGCCTAGTGTTGAAAGTCAAGTGATACAGGGTCAGGCCTGGACAGCTGGCCCCCGGCCCAAGCCATACGGCGACTGGTGGCCCGGCGTGAGCCACCGTGGTTGGGGTGATTAAGGCGCTTGATGGCGGTGACTGGTGTGCGTGCAGCCAACGACACGGCCGGCGGCTTCGCTGGGCTACGGTGTGCTACACAGGAGCGCGGCCTTCACACCATGCCAAAACACAGGCTGGCGGCCGTGGCGGTTATCACACCCTGCTGCCGTCAGGCCCCACGCCGCTGCGCAACGCAGCGCCCTTCCGCGTCGCACATCGGCAGCGCGCGGCGCCCTCTGGCCAGCGCAAGCGGCGAGCGCCTGCAACAACCCCCATTGGGCGACTGCGCTCCCCGGCTCTTGCCCTGCACCAACCACCTCGCCGACAGCTCTGAGGCACAGCCATCCTCTCCCCTCGCCCAAAAACCACGACTCACCCTCGCTGGCCGCGCTGTGCAGGTTGGGCACCTCCTCCCCCTCCGCCTCGTCCCCCTCCTCCCCCTCCTCGCCGCCGCCACCGCCCGCGCCGCCCGGCATGAGCGCCTCGAAGTCGAAGACGTCCCCCATGGCGCCGCCAAGCTTCGACAGCACCGCGGGGTCGTTCCAGTACTTCATCATCGCCGCGGGGCCGGCCTTCTCCAGCTCCTCAAAGATGCCGCCCTTTGGGTTGGTCGGGGAAGGAAGGTGAGGAAGAGACGTTCAGGGCGGGGTGCGCGGGCGGCAAAGCCGGGCGCGCGGGGGGCCGCGGACAACTGCTGTTTCAGAGCCCTCCTCGGGTTGCGCACGCCCGGTAGCAACAGCAAGGCAGCCGGGCGCGCGGGGGCGCACGCCCACACGAGCAGGAGCCCGGGGCCCGGCAGGCGGGGCGCCCGCTGCCGGGCCCCGACCAACCACCAAACCCTACCAACCGCACCCGACCACCACGCCCGAACGCCAACCCCCTGTCTCCCCCCCACCATCTCGGGGTCGTCCTTGAGTGACTTCATGGCCGACTCCACCTTGTTCTTGTACTCCGGGTCCTGCATGGCCGCCATCATCTTGCTCATATTGGGGTCGGACTGACCCAGTGAGCAGGGGCGCGGAGGGGGAGGGGAGGGGGTTGCAGGAAAGGGCGGGTCAGCGAAGGCGCCGGCTTCTGGAGGCGGCCGACGTGGCCGGCCAGAGAGGCCGCTGCACCACACACTGCGCCCCCTGGTCCGCAGTTCTCTGCCGCCGGCGCCGGCGCCAAAGCTGCCCCACGCAGAGCCCGACCTCCCTCCCCTCCACCCCCGGGGGCCCGCGGGCGCACCGAGATAATGGCCTGGCCGAGCTGCTCGGCCATCTGCATGAATGCCGGGTTGCTGAACATGCCGCTCATAGCCTGCATGTACTTTGACGGGTCAAATTGGCTGGGGTCGGGCATGCCGGGCATGCCGGGCATGCCGGGGATGCCCGGCATGCCGCCCGCGCCCGCGCCCGCGCCCGCCGCCGCGCCCTCCGGGCCGACGAGCCCGGCCATGCTCTCTTGCAGCTGCGAGGTGAGGCCCTGGAAGGCGGGGTCGCCTGGGGCGGGGAAGGGGGCGAGAGAGTGGGACGCGGGTGGGGGGCTCGCGGGTGGGGCGGCTTGGGCCGCAAGGATCCAGTTGAGGCGGGGCGCGGCGAGGTCCGTGCATGGGCGTGCAGCGCTGGTCGCGCGGCGAGGGCGGACGGTGCGCGGCAAACAGCAGTGCTAGCTGCGGTGGTCGTTCGGGCTGGCTGTGTGGTGCGGAAGACGAGAGCCCTGGCCCCAGGCCAGAATGCAACAGGTCGGGCCAAGGCTGTCACTGCAACGTCACCCACCAGCAATTTTCTCGGCCATCTCCTTGATCTTGGGATCCTGCAGTCACAACAAGATAAATGCGGTGCGATGCACGGGGAGTGTCAAGGCGCATGCATGCACCGCCGGAGCCGCGCGCCGCCCACCAGCATGTGTCGGGAGCGGGTGCAGGTTGCGCTCATTGCGCACAGCGTCGTGGCGTCATTCAATGGATTCTGCATCTATGCAACGCATTCATGCGACGGGTGATAAGAACAACTGCGTGCATGCAGTGCGGAAGGTGCGAGACGCCAATCGTGGATGCTCCTTGTGCCCGCTGTACGCCGGGACGCCCGCGATGCAGAATGGATTCTGGATACCGCTCACAGAGAGGGCCTGCTGCAGGGCCGAGAAATCGAAGGCACCACCGCCTGGGAACGCCATCTTCCTTAGCTGTCAGAGATCACCCGGACGATAGCGTGACCGTGAGAAGCAACAGCGATTCAAAGAAGGAGCTCTATCACTGAACGTATCCACAGGTCGCACGCGCACCAACTTGAGGTGCCTCGCGGCCGCCGCCGCCCAGCTTCGGCTGGGCTCCCACGCCCTGTCACTTTCGTGCTGGGCGCGATCTTATGCGACCGAGCTTTGGACCGGAGGGGGTTGATGGGTTGTGTCACTCCACTGCGGCAAGTTCCATGCAACCACATGCTTTGCGACGGATGCCGCTGCGTGTCTTCCCCCCTCTCATGTCCGTGTCATGGGCCCAGGCCGCTACGTCCATCCCATGCGATTGCGATGCGTTGGCCGACCGCGTGCCGACCCCCATGAGTGGGCACACAAAACATCGCAGGCAACAAGTGGTGCGCATCTGCGCTGACATGTGCGCGTCATCACCATGGGGCGATCACCACCGCCCACCCTCAGAGTGGCAGCTGCGTTGATGTCGAGTACACTGCATTTCCTGCCTTGAGCGCCGGGATTCGGGATGAAGCCTGTGCAGAGGCAGGCCTGGCACTCGCCCCATCACCCCAGCCCGCCAGTTTTCAATCCTAAGCAGTCCATCAGCCAGCAATCCAAACACTTTCAATGCGCCCATTCGCACCCGAAGACCAAGCGAGATCGGCTCCCCCGGGAAGCACCGCTGCGCCTGCAATCCAGCGGCCTGCCAACGTCCTGGGAGCGGCCGCGCGTCCCATGCACCACACCTGCCTTCCAGCGCCCCCCTCCTGTGCCCGCGGGGCCGGCCACGCCAGGCGTCCCGATGCGTATCATTGAACTTGGTCCCTCGCAGCGCTCTGCAAGGGGCGCGTGCGCCCCAACTGGCGAGGCCAGCACCTGCACCGGGCCCTCCAGCGGCCCTCGATTCCAAAGCCACCGCTTGAGCGGTTGCACCCAAGCCGCGCGTGGTCAGCTGCGCCCTCAATCTCCAGTCAAGCTCTCACTTCTGGCCTGATGCAGCTGAGTGATTAAGGGATGCTGTTCACGTCTCTCTAGTACATGAGCCGACCACCTGTGTATCCTAGCTATAAGGCAAAAACAGACTCCTGCAGAAGCGAGCTTGTGGTCATGCGTGCCGTACAAAGTCAACAGCTGCCCTGATGCACCAGCAACGTAGACAGACACTAGGCATGGGGCCCACTGGTGCCGCGTGCACCCTCCCTGACAGATGTCCAAGGGTAACGTCAGTCACGTGCCTCGGGCAGCGTACAGCAGCAGCTGCTTCAGCGCTCCCGACCCGCTGCGCCCGCCGATCGGACAGCTAAAATGCCATTTACATGGTTATTAGAGACAACACACGACGTCACGCAACGATTGGCAGCGCCAAAAAGACCCTGCCTGCACACACTTAGCCCCAAACCTCCGCACGGGACGCGCTCAGCCGCTTCAACAGTCAAGCTACGCACCTCAAATCAAAGGGGCGGGCAGCACGCTGAGTGCTGTGCGTGCCGTAGGACGGGTACTGTATACGTTGTCGCTTTCTCGAGCAGCCGCCACCCTGCAAACGGCCATGTGTGTAACCCATGGCGCGCACGAAATCACTCGCCTGCAAGCTCCCGGGGCAGCCCAAGGCACCGAAGGAGGACACGCGCGTACAGAATCAAGGCCGGTCAGGGCTGGGCACCCTGCCCGGTATCACACTCACGCGCGCACAACAACGCCGTCGCGGCGGCGGCGTCGCAAGGTCCTACATTGCTGTGCTGCTTTTTAGTGCGCTAGTGTCTGCAGGCGACAACGCCCCGCCGGCCACAGCCGAAAGGCTGCGAGACACCGGCACGCAGGTCAATTCTGATTGGCAACGGCGGGCAAAGCGGAGAAATTGCGGTTCACGGCTTGCCCAACCGCGCTGTTGCGGGTGGTACACAGCGCAGCAACGCCTCGACAAGTCCACTGGGCCGCTGGCGCCTGAGCGGCCGCGCGTGATGTCATCTGAGAGATGCAGGGGGCCGGCGGGGCAACAACCGCCCGCCGGCGCTCACAGCAGCAGCGCCGCGAGCGCGGCGGCGAGCACCACGGCCGACGCGGCGGCGCCGGCGCGGCCGCCGGCCGCCGACTGCGCGCTGCCGGTGGAGCTGGGGCCGAGGATGTTTGGCCCAGTGGTGTTGTCGGCGGTGCTGGTCCCGGGTGCGGCACCCAAGCTGGAGTAATCGCCGTTGATGATGGCGACGAGGTTGGCGGGGCTGAGGGTGATGGACTGGCCGGCGTTGAGGCAGTCGCCGATTGCCACGTTGTTCTGGCACTCCTGTGGCAGACGATGAGACGAGGGGCGACGGCCCGGCGATGAGAGGTGAGTAAGGGTTGAAGCTGGTGTGGCTGGGAGGGCATCCAGGGGCCTGCATGGCTTTGAGCAGACACAAGCGGACCTGGCAGCGGCGGGACCGCCTGTGGCGGCAGCGAGACGGTTGCGCAGGCGGCGAATGTCAGACAGCCACCCCCTGCTCTGGAAATTTTCCCTCCAAACCACCGGGCTCGCAGCGCCTGCGCGGCCGCACCTGAGCGGCGGATCCAGTGCTGTCGCCGCCGAGGGCGCTGAGCAGCGCGGCGTACGGCGCGGGGGGCGCGATGGAGGGCAGGACCTGCGGGTGTTGTGGTGGGGGCGGGGGCGGGGGGCGGTGAGGCACACAGGGGAGTGACAGGTGAGCGAAGCCGTTGAGATCTTGTGGCTTCGCTGAGGACTGCACTGCAAAGGATCATGACCATCACCGCATGCCGGTACTGCATGCTGTGAGCCAGTTCGCCTGCTCAAGCAAACAACAGCATGCATTTTAGCCAACAATCCCTCACAGACACGGTTGAACACACATACACACACACACACACACACACACACACACACACACACACACGAGAGCACCCACACACACACGACCCACCTCGAAAGCGTTAGTGCAGTTGCCCCAGACCTCTTGGTCGTATCGCTGGTACTTGTCCAGCAGGTCAGAGCGCTGCGGGGTGACAGGGGGTGACAGGGGGTGGCAGGGTGCGCGGGTGCAGGTGCAGACTGTTGCACACGGCATGGTTGCGCATGTTTTCGTCGGCAAAGAGTGCGTCGGCTCCCCGCCGTTGCGGGCTCCCGGCGTGGATGATGGATGGTAATCAGCCCGCGGCCGACCGACGCCCCCGAGCTCGCTGGCGGGGACGTGTGGCGCCGGCCGCCCGTCGGCCAGTTCGCGCGGCGGCAGCCCCCCGCGGAGGTCGGCGGCTGCAGCCGCGCCGCCGCACGAAGCGTCGCTCGCCACAACCCAGTGCCGCGTGCCGCCGCACCTGCGTGGTGTCGAGGGCCGCCAGGTCAGCGGCCAGGCACACCCCCACCGACGCCGTCGGCAGGTACCCCGAGCCTGAGCTTGCGGGCGCCGCCGGCAGGAACCCGCCGCCGCCGCTGCCCGCGGCGCCGGACGAGCCGTCGGACGGCGTGGCGGCGGAGGAGTCGGAGGGCGCGGCGGCGGACGTGTCAACAAGCGTGGGGTCGGTCCCGGATGAGGAGACGTCGCCGGAATCCGAAGAGCCGTCGCCGGTCGAGTCTGTTCCGTCCCCGGGGGCCGCGGGCGTGTCGCCCTGCGCTCCCGCGTCGGTGAGCGTGGTCGACGCGTCGCCGGGCGCGGCGGACGCGGACGCGTCGGCGGGGGCGGGGGAGGCGGCGGACGGGTCCTGCAGGAGCCGCCTCAGCCGCAGGGGGCTGGCCGCGGGCTGCGCCGCACCGGGGTCGGCCGCGGGCGTGGATGCCGGCTGGGCAGTGCCGGACGCAGGGGCCTGCTGGGCGGTGCCGGACGAAGGGGCGGCCTGGGCGGTGCCGGACGCGGGCGCCTGCTGGGTCGTGTCGTAAACGGGCGCCGTGGCGCCGCCGCCCGCAGCGGGACCCGCGGACGCGGGCTGCGCCGCGCCGGTGTCGGCGCCCGCGCCGCCCACATCGGTCGTGGGGAAACCGTACCCCGCCGGTGCCTGCTGGGAGGTGTCACTCGTGGGCGCCTGCTGGGTGGCGTCACCCGCGGGCGCCTGCTGCGTGGTGTCACTCGTGGGCGCCTGCTGTGTGGCGTCACTCGTCGGCGCCTGCTGGGAGGTGTCACTTGAGGGCGCCTGCTGCGTGGCGTCACCTGTCGCCGCGCCGCCCGACGAGGTGCCGTCGGCGGGTGAGAGCTGGGTGGCGGCGGTGGAGGGGCCGCCGGCGGCTGCGGCCAGCCCTGTGTCTGTCGCGTTTGCGGTGCTGTTGGTGTCTGAGTACGCGGACGGCGCGGCGGCCGAGGGCGCCGCGACCCAGGTACAATTGCCGGCGTTGGCGCAGGTGTCGTTGTCGGTGGCCTGCAAAGGGGGGCGGCCGCGAAACGTGTGGCGCGGGTCAGAGAGCGGCGGCGCCAACGCGGGGAGGTGGATGCGTAAGCGTGGTCGGGAGTTTGCGGTGCGGGTCAGGTGGTGGCGCGCCGGGGGCGGTTGGCCAGGCGGGGATGCAAGACTGTGGTGACTGTCGTGTGCACTGATGCCCCGAGGGGCCATTCTTGCGGGTCGCCCTGCCACCTCAGCAGCGGCCTGGGGGCCCGGCGGCCGGCGCCGTCCCAGCGCACCGGCGTACACGGCAGCTGCTGGGCGGCGAGAGACCCCGGGCAGGCGGCGGCGGCCTGGGCGGCGCCGAGCAGCGTGCCAGTTGCCAGCCTGCAGCTCGGGCTCTGAGGGAGCAGAGGAGTTGGATGTGGGGCCAGCAAACTGATGAGAGCACGAAGAAAGGAGCGGCTCACTGCAGTGCCAAGTGGGAAGCGGTGGCGGAGCGCCTCATGCAAAGTCTCATGCGTTAGCTGAAGCATCGGGGCTGGCAGCCCAGGCGGGACCATCTGCAGCGGCTGCAAAGCCGTCCAGGCGCCAGGCTGGCAGCGCATGCGCGCGTTGTGTGCGTCCGCGCGTTGTGTGCGTCCGCCGAGAGGCTCTGTCCTCCCGGCTTCCCTGCCTAGGTCGCACCCACCGAATCGGGGTTCCAGGAGCAGTTAGCATTGGTCTGGGCGCCGCAATCTGCGTCGCTGGCCATGAGGCTGCACAGCGCGTCGGCCGCCAGCGAGCGCAGCAGCGACAGCGACAGGTTCTGGCCCGGGGCAGGGGCCTGGGAGCGCGGCGGGCAGTTGTGAGGCCGCGGGACGGGGAGGTGTGCGGCGGTTTGAGGGGGACGGGGGAGGATTGTGGGCTGCTGGGGGCGAGCCAAGGCCGGCCGTGCGTTCCATCCGGCTGCCCGCGAGCGATGCAGCTGCAGCGCGGGCCGCCTCGGAAACTAGGCCGCGGGGCGCGGCCCGGTTGCGGTGAGTCGGTGCCGACAGGGCCGGGCGAGCGCCGCCGGCGCCCGCTCACCGTCACGTTTGAGATGATGAAGGCCGGGGAGACGTCGCATTTTTGGGCGGAGCCGTCATATGCGCACTGGGATGCGGATGAAGGCGCGTCCGCCGTCGTGTTCTGGGCGCGCGCCCCTGCTGCCAAGGCCAGCAGGAGCAGGGCTCCCGCAACGGAGGTCCTCATAATTACTATTATGCAATCTGCGTGCGCGAAACCGAGAAATAAGCGCGTGTGGAGGTCGCTCACTGATGGCTGATCTGTTGGCAGCTCACCCGTGGCGTGACACGCGTCCGTCGGTCGCGTTGAGAGGGCTAAAGATAGCGGGTGACACAGCGTGCTTGCAGCTAAATCAACGGCCCCGATCGCAACCCACCCGCGGGAAAGCGATGCTCACCAACTCGGCAAGTATACGACGGCCAATCACGGTGAATACTATGCTTGTCACGACCTCTGCAAAGCGACAGCCAGCGACTGGTACCGCGTCAAGGACGTCGTGCGTACCAGGTGCGTATTCAGCGAGAGTCGCGCGTTCAAACCCGCCCAGCTCACGGGATACTCGGCTCAATGTAAATGGATAATGATGCTCTTACGCACTCCGTACGCCTCATGTAGGTGCTGCAATCGATGCAGCACAGAGTTCGGGCAGGTGGGCGGCACTTGCGCCCGGAGGAAAGGGAGCTGGCCATTGGGCGCTCCGCATGGGGTGGAAGGTCACACCATCGGCAGAGCCTGCACGACAGCCCTCATGTTAACGCTTTATCACGCCGCATGCCCGTAACCCTCGAGTTTACACTGTGCTCAGCCCCCTAGGGCAGTGAATGATGAGTCACGAGCCAGTGGGTTGACCTCTCATGAGCACGCATGGGCGCACACAGGGGTGCGGGTGCAGTAGCATCCCATGGGCCCATGGGCCACTTACACTGTATGTCAAGGAATCACCGACCGCTCGTATTCCATTTGTTACATGTCGGAATGCGACAGGCGCTCGCTGCTCTCTGTCATGGCGATCTGCGAGCGCAAGGGGGCGCGCCTGGGTGCGGCATGCAGCGCAGCCGGACGAGAGCAGCAGCGGCCGCCGGGGATGGTATTGGCGGCAGCAACAGCAGCGGCACAGGGCCAGCTATGCCTGTAAGGGATGGCAATGCCACAAGCTTGCCTCGGAGCAGGAATCTACCAGGAAAGAGCTGCAAATCAGGAACAGTTGACAGTACAAGAACATGAGGATGCGACGGAACAATATGTGTCCTGTGCTCAAAAATCGGGGCGCCAGGAGCGTGTGCGCAAACCGGTGCCCGAGAGTGTGCGCGGCCTCCATTCGCACTGGCTTGCAGCGTGCAGCGACGCAGGGCCGGGGTCGGCCTCCGGCTGGCGGCGGCTGGGAGGTGATACGTGCCACAAGGGCTATCGGGGTGTGTGCCCTGGCGTCGCGGTGCGCGACGACAACTTATTCCAAACGGCAGTATCTACAAGCGTCCCTGAAATTGCAATCCTCTTTTCGTGTATAGTGGGATCAGCCGGGCCAGAGGCGCGGCGAACGGTGTGTGTGTGCGGGGGAAGAATGCATCACAAGGGGCTCTTGAGCCGCGGCGCGCACCGGCGGGGCCCCGGCCGGCCACGGGCGCGAGGGGCGGCGCCGCGCCCGTGGGGACTTGAAGAGGCTGCCCGAAGCGGGGTAACGGGAGGGCGGCGCCGCCGCGCGCGGAAGCTGCGCGGCGCGGGCAGCAGACGCCTCACCCGTCGCCCCCGCCGAGGCCGCCGCTGCTCGTGGCCGCGCTCGCCGCCGTGCTCGCGCCCGACGACGCCGACCCCAGCCGCGCCGCCGCCGCGCGCTGCTGCGCCTCGCGCCGGCGCCCCTTGATGCCGCCGATGATGCCCCTCAGCCGCCCCGCGACGTCGGCCATCGTCGGCCGCCGCGCGGGCGCCTGGTCCCAGCACTCGCGGGCCAGGGAGATGACGGCGGCGACCTCTGGCAGCGGCGGCGCGACGTCCTCGGCGGCGGGCATGTCGAGGCGGTTGCCGGCGGTGACCTCGTTGATTATGAGGTACAGGGGCACCACGCTGCCGCCCTCGGCCTCGTTCCTGGGATCATGGTTTTGTTGGAGGGGGGCAGGTGGAGAGGGGTGGGTGCAGGAGAGGTTGAGGGTGGGGGAGGGTGAGGTTGTCGGTGCCCCTGGGGAGGACGGTTCTACGGTACACTTGGGTCTTGGTTTTGGGTGTGTGTATGTGTGTGTGTGTGTGTGCATGTGGGCATGCATGCGTGTGTGTGTGTGTGTGTGTGTGTGTGTGTGTGTGCGCGTGTTGTTGTGTTTGTGTGTGTGTGTGTGTTGTTTGGTGTGTTTGGGTGGGAACGTTTGTGTGCGTGGGTTTGCGCGCGTGTGTGTGCTGTCCTGGAGGCGCCCACCTCCACGGCTGCTTGAGTGTGATGAGCTCCCACAGCACCACCCCAAATGAGAAGACGTCTGCGGTCGAGGGGGGCAGGGCGGTGGGAGTGGTGTGTCGGAGGTTGACATGTTCCAGGGTTTCGAGGTCGTAGTGTCCGCGCTCACGCACAACAGGCGCCGAAGCGCCATGAATTTCAAAGTCAGCAGCCACACGCGCGCACGCGAGCGCGAAGCGCAGGGGAGGGCGGCGGCGGCGGCGGCGGCGGCCGGGCGAGACGTTTCTGATACGCACCGGCCTCCTTGCCTGCGGCGCAGGGGGTAAGGTTGGGGGGCAGGGAACGAGGGGGTCGGGTCCAGGAGCAAAGATGAATGCAGGTTATGGCTGCGGGCCGGCGCAGAAACAACAGGGTTGAATGCAGTCCTCGCAAGCATAGGCAGCGGCCCGCCCGCAGCGGGCCATAACCCGAACAAGCGCTCCTGCCGCCGTCAGCCAGGGGGCCAGCGGCGGCCTCAAGCCCCAAAGGCTGGGCAAAATGGGCTGGCCTGGTCGCGCTGTCATGATGACATCATGGCTCCTGCTCTCACCATAGGCCTGGCCCGCCAGCATCTCGGGGCTGGCCCAGCCCTGGTGGGATATGATGGGAGGGGTGACGAGCGGGGCCATGTTTGTTTGCACACACGCGGCACAGCACGCCCGCCGTGTATGACATCAGACAGCAGCATTATGGTGGTTGGCAGGCACGCACCGGCCGGCGGACGCAACACGCGCTCGCCCGCGGCGCTGGCCCGCGCGCCGCGCAGTTTCTTCCCGGCTCGCCCGCGCCCTCCGTCGAAGCGCGCGGCGCCTTCGCGCCCCCCAAAAGACCCATGTACAGCAGCGCACCGGGCTGTTGGGGTTGCCGCTGTTGGCGAGCTGGACGTCGTCCGCCACCACGCGCGACAGATTGAAGTC